TATAAATAAATACAAACAACTGATGGCTATATTTGGACTAATGACTAATGCAGTGGCTGACGCCCCCATAGCAGACCTACTTGCAGGCTGGAAGGCAAGAAATACAATGAGTGATCACTTGTCACAAGTTCACGATAACGGAGCACCTCACCATTACTCTTGAAGCCATGCTGCTGCTGGCAGTAGGCATGGTACCAGATGAGCACATTGGTGAGGTTGGTGGGGTACTCTGTGGAGGATTGGCACTTCAGCCAGTGCTTAAACGAATCCACAGATGTATCTGCAACACCATGCTCCTTCAAAACTTGCTGCCTCAAGGGGGGCTGGCTAATGATCCAGAATGCCAGGGGCAGCATAACATCACGATGGGTGCATGCATCTGAGGACTTTTTCTGGAAGGAGGCATGCAGGGTGTCATTAAGCTGGGGGACATGGCATTTGAAGCAAACTGAGCCGTGGATGGCTCTGTCATAGTTGAGTCCTGTCTTCATGGCTTTGGCTGCAACAGTGGTGAGGTGGTTGGATGGGTCTTGAAAGACCGGACAGTCATATATGGCCTGGTGCTTGGGCCTATCCTGTTTGCTGAAGAACCTGCATAACACACAGCCTGGGCCAAAGAACTCCAAGGCTTGGAAGATGCGTTCTGTTTTGCCCCCAATCCTGGTAATGTTCTCAATCCTCCTCTTCTTGACGTCAGCTGCTGCAGAATCAAAGGGGCTTGCTGCTGGGGGTGCAGGTCTCTTGGCTGGTGCAAGCATAGGGGCAGGAGGGGAGGGCTGAGGCCAAACTGCTGCTGGCAAAGGTGGAGGCTGCTGGCAGATGCTGCATAGCTCAACACACGGTGAGCCAGCACAATTGTACTCATGACATGTGAGTCCACTGCCATCCGTAAACCGACTGATACCTTGACGGAGGCAAATCTGAGAGCTTATGCTTCCAAGCCATTCAAACATGGCCTGCTGTCCCTGGTGGTCTATCTTTCCAGCCACCAAGGATGGCGCTCGGTGTCCTTGATGAGGCAGAACGATGCAGATGGCACGCTGACAGTCCCGCCCGGCACGTCCAGCTTCCTGGGCATAGTTGGTCATTGATCTGGGGGAGCCAGCATGAATAACCAGCCGCACGTGCGGATAATCATTTCCTGCACCATAGGCCTCAGTGCAGACCATAACATTATGGGTGCCAGCAAGCCAGCGGTCCCTCATCTTGAGCCTTTCCAGAGGGTCCAATTTGCCATGGTAGAACTCGCAGTGCAATAATGTAGACAGAGCCTCACCCTCTGTGCGAAATGGCACATAGATGAGCACACGATCTTGAGCGGTAAACTTGTGCACATAGGATTCCAAAATAGCCTTGACATGTCTGTGAACTGCAGGCATGGGGGCAGGTGGGTTGAGGTGATACTGAATCTCGGGACGGATGGTCGGGGTGCGGATAACGATCATGTTGTCCTGCATCAGGCCAAAAGCATCCACAAGGGTGGGTTGGGACAGTGGAGGGACAGTGGCTGACAAGACAACCAGTTGCATGCTGATCTGCCTTACCTCATAGATCTCCCGCATGCAATCCCTGAAGTCATCAGAGGTGATGGCATAGTGCCCCTCATCGATCACCATCCGTGCCACTGATCTTTGTTGGCTGGCTTCCGCAAGTGCCTGCCTCCAAGAGTCCATCCTTGCATGGTCCACAGAAACAAGCACTAGATTGGTTTGAGTGGAAATGGACCCAGAGTCTCCATCAAAGACCTGGTATTGAATCCCCATGGCTTGTAGCTTCCGCTCATAGTCATCCATAAGAGAACGCAGGGGAAGCACTCCCACAGTGATCGCATCCTCTAGAAGAGGGGGAATTATCATGAGCATGGATTTACCAGATCCCGTGGCCATCACAGCAAGGACATCAGACTCCCTCTTCAGGACAGCCTCTAGCCCCTCGCGTTGTGCAGCACAGCTCCAACCAGCCTGTGGCTTGCGGAGGAGGTGACGTAAACACTGCAGGGCCTGTTGCATGCTTGGAACAGCAAGAGGTTGATGATCAACAGGGGAGGAAGTATGCCCATTGAGGGCAAGCCTCACAGGAGCATGGGCAGCAGATGTAGAGGGCTGTTGATGGCAATGTCACAGACAATCCAGGGCCAACAGAGAAGTGCAGCCACTCACAAGCTGAAGGACTCGCATATCGGGTGCCTGGATATTCTGGTCAATGGGAAAGACTGAAAAGTGATCACTGGCATGGTCTGAGGTATTGACAACCTAACAAGTTGGGGACAGGGGGTCGGACAATCAGGTCATATGGGAGTATCGCTCATTCAAGCACCTACCATGTTGTTGGTTGGCACTATTGCTGTGGTGTCAGTGCCATGGCTCAGCATATCACTGGATGATGATGCCTATCAGATGAAATCAGGAAAATACAATGGAATGTGGAAGATTATATTTTGGCTGACCTGGACAGTGGTGGACTGAGAGACAGGAGGTGTGCTGGGCTGCAAAATAGGAAGCAATAGCTGAGCTAAATTATGAAGGAAATCCTTGGATGGCAGAGGAGGATTTGGATTGGTGGCGGGTGCATAATCTGCAAAGTGGGCAGCCGTGACCTGCTGATAGGGCAAAATGACACTGCCTGGCACCACCTTGCATGCAATGTGCCAGCGTGTGCTTGCATCCAAGAATAGGGGGATAAAGTCCTCGGGAAGGGTGGCAAGAGCAAATTGACTGAGTCCATAGATTCTATTCTCTGTGTTTGATGTGTGGCCTGCTTGAGCAATGTCTGCACTCTCCTGCATGTCCTCTTCCGCAAGCTCATACATTTCTGCACAATGCTTTCTTTTCCAGCTTGTACTCACATGCCTCCAAGCATTGACCCCAAGCTCAATGCCAAGCACTGGAAGGGTGAAACGAGCCATAATGTTGCTGAGATCTTGAGTGTCAAAGAGTTTGCAGTTGTTGACAAATAACTGCTCTTGGTACAGCTTTTTGACGTCTGCCTCCCCATGGTGCAAAAGGTGCACCAGGAATTGTGCAAAAGGACGTGCAACAGCAAGATTTTGTATTATGAGATCTGCAGTCAAGGCATCCAAAGCATGAGGGAGCAGCCGGTCGCTTCCAGTGAGGCCACCAGTTTTGTGGTAAAGGGTGACAATGGAGAGGTATGGACCATAGGCCACCAGGTTCCTTGCAGTGCGGGTCAGGGTGTTTCTAAATGTCATTGAGGTAATCTCTGTGCCACGTGCAGGGGCTCCACTGAGCATTTCACAACGGGCGAGCAGGATTCCTTCAAAAATGGCATAATTTGAAAGCCAAAGCCGTATAAAGTCCTTGTTCCATTCCCAGCCATCACCATAGTTGGTCTTCATAAGCAGGGTCTCCCTGGCAGCAGCATTGTCCATGATGGTGCCAAGTAGGATATCATGGTTTCCAAAGGTGTGGTTCCTCCTATCGGTCAAGAAACAGTAGCCAACATCCGTGTTGACCAGGTCATCCACAATGTTTGACCAGTCTACCCAGTCAACCTTCATGCCACAGAGAATGTCACGTTCCCAAAGCTCAATGGCAGTCTTTTCCATCCGGGTAAAAATAGTTTGAAGGTCTTGTTGCGTGATCTTGGTACCCCTGTAAAGCATGGATGTGTAGCCTGTGCGGTCGAGCCAATAGACCCTTGGCTGGGATGATGTTTTATAGGCCATTGCAGAAGCCCTGTGCTGGAGGGACCGCAGAGCATTGAATGGGGATTCCACCTTTTCAGTGAACCATCGAGAGGCTGCCTTGCATGCTATTTCTTCATCACCGTGATATGATTGCTGGGCAATAGCTTTGATGTGTGCAAGGAAAAAGAGGCGCATGCAGTACACAAGCCGAGCAATAGTGGGTGTCACTTGATGAGGATCCTTGTGGCTGCCATCTGGTTTGAGGGTGAGAAGAGCAAGGAAGCGAACAGTGGGACACGGAATGTGATTATCCTCAGCTGGCAACCACTTGTTCATCCACAGTTGGCTGAGAACATTGTGGAGCTCGGTGTATCCATCTTCATCCTCATCGTGAACTGCATTTGCTATCCATAGTTGCAACTGCTCAAGGGCCACTGTAAGACCAGAAGAGAGTGGAAGTGAATACTGGCCCTTGGGACGCAGCAGGAATGCTATGAGCTGCACCACATAGCCACTGTAGTTGCTCAAGGTCTCATCTTGCTGCATGGCATGAAATGGGGTATTGTTGATACCACTATGGATTGTAAAAGCATCAGGAAATATAATAAGATATTGCTTTTTGTATTCCGCTCACGTTTTGGCTGGGTCAGGAGTATTGAGGGTCTGAAGGACAAGCTCTGCAGTGGACTTGATAGAGCCAGTGGCACTTGACATGTAGTTAAAGACCAGCTTCTTGAGGCCTGGGAACTCGTCTTTCTTTGGTGTTGCAACCAATTGTATGAGTGTGCCAATGTGGTACCCTGCCACATGCTCATGCCATTTGGTCGTGATCAGCCAAGGGCTAACAAGTCTTGCATTGATCTGTCGATTCTGACAATGGTCCATAGTTTCTTCATCCGCCATTTCAGCCTGAGCAGTAGCGACCATGGCTTCCCAAGGAGTAGCAGACAGTGCAGTTTGCTTGTTCACCTGGAAATAAGAACTAGTAAACCCAGCACCAGCTGTGAGCCTCTGAGCGTGACAAGCAGAAAAACGAGGAGGGACAGTCTGGCCAGGATGCTCCTGAGCAAAATGTTGTTTCATGGACTTGGAGTTGAGTCGTATAACGTGACACTCATTGCACTTGAGACCGTGATGCAACTTTAGCCCTTGGATTTCAGGATGGATAATCAGGTTAGACATTGCAGGCAGAGCCGGATGCACAGGGAGCTGCCTCAACACAACAGAGAGCTGGGTGGGATCTGCAACCGCTTTTAGTGCAGGGTGATTGCTAGTGATGTGACCGATGATATAGGAGGGCTCAATAGCCACCATGCAAATTTTGCAGCATACAGCATGGATATTGGTATTCACGATGAGCTCCAATTGATCAAGGAATGGGTGGGTGACAATTTGCTATGGTCATTCTTAAGCTTTGCAGTCCAGGCAAGATGCAAGAGACACACATTTTTGTTTTCATTAGGGACTGGAGCATGTTCAGATGTACCACTAGTATCTTGTTTGCCTCTGGCACTGGTCCCTGGGGCATCGACTTGGAGGATATGAAGAACAGTGGCACCACTGGCATTTTGCTGGCCTGGTGGTTTAAGCTGTAAAATAGGAAATGTCATGGACCATTGTATTTCACCGCTGCCAGGAATGAAAATACCTGACAGGATTTTTGATGATGGTCTCTGATCCCTCTGGTTTTGAAGACCATGTGGCAATGCTTGCAAGAGGCTGCCAGAAGATTCCTTTTTACAACCGAGGACATGCTTATGTAAGCGTACAGACTGAGCTGGTGCTGACAAGTGGGTGATGGACAAGGAAAAAAGAAAGGAGGAAGCAGGTTCCTTTCATGCAGGTCTTATATATATGTGCAGGATGCTGAGTTTGAAAAAATTTCCAGCACAGCCACAGGGAATCTCGATTGGATCTTGATTGGAAGAGATGAAAGTAGTGGCAAAGGCAGAGAGATTCTGCGATGGAAAGTACAGAAGAAGTGGAAGGACTTGACAGTGGTGCACAGAGTTGTATAATATAAAGAAAAGTCCAGGACTTTGCTCAATAGCCAGTCAAGGTGTATGTGAATTGTTCAGAGCTGCAAAGAACTAAACAGGCCAGCGGAGCTGGATGTAAGGCTTTGCTGGGGGCTATCTGACCCATCCAAATTTTTGGAAACTTGTCAGAGACACCCTGAGGACATCCTACATCCTGGTCAAGTTGGGAATAATGCAAATTTACACCCTGCCGACTTGTGAAAAGAAGATCCTTCTGAATATTCAAATTTCGGCGTGGCAGAGATGGAAGAGGAACAAAAGGAAATGAAGAGCACTAGAGTATGCAGGTGCATAACAACTGTTGTAGGCCTGTATGTCATCCCGACAATGGCACTCGGAGCCAGAGCCACTATGCAGGAAAGTGAATCAAAGTCCTGAGCGGTTAGAAAATTATGTTACTGGGCACATATATTGGTCTCGTATCTGTAAGCATGATGGCATGATCAAAAGGGTACATGGCGTGAAAGTGAGCCTAATCCAAATGTATCTGCTTGCATTGATAGAGTGCATGGCATGGCATGACCTGGCATGGACAATGCATGCCACTGCATACATGGCATGGAATGGCATGAAGCGATGCACAGAATTTCAATGGTCAGTAGGCTATTCTACTGTTAACAATCAACTATGGCATGAGAGTGCATGAGATGGCATGACAAAATATAAAAGTCCAGTAAATGGCATGACAGGAGGCATGCACTCGACAAAAAATACAAAAGCTGATAGACTATTGTATTGATCGAAACCAGTAAAGTATATGCTATGGCATGGACTGATGCATGACATGAACAATATACAAAAGCAGATAAGCGATTGTATTTACTGATGCCAATGCAGCACATGCAGTGTGCTTACACTAATACAAGAAATAGTTCTGCGGGTGGCATGTG